CCTCCGAGACCTTCAACCTCAAGGAGGACTAGGGGGGCGACGCCGGACGGCCGCCCCCGGGGCCCCACTCTAACCCGGGATTCGCGGCGGTTCGTCGGCGCGCGCGCGCGGGAGGACGCCGCGGGGCGGCGGTTCGAGCTCCTCGCCTCGGCGCCGCGGCGCGGGCCGCGCGCGGCGCCGTCCGGGCCGCGACGGCGCCCGCGGTCGGCGCGGCGCGTCCCCGGTCCCTCGGTACTTTGAATCTTCAACGAAGGCGCCCGGCGGATTCGTTGCAGGCCTTCCGCAGCCCCTCTCCCGGTAACGCGTGTGCCACCGGCAGCGTCGTGGGAGCGGAGCGCCGTCGTCCGCCATGGGTGCCGGGGGCTCGACCCCGATCGCCGCGCCCTTCGCGACCTTCGCGACCTGGACCGCGGGCAGCTGCGCGGCGCTCGTCGAGGAGTACAAGGACAAGGACTACGACTTCGGCATCGACCTCCCGACCGTCGAGGCGCTGACGGGCCTCGACAAGGCGCTCGCCGAGGGCATCGTCGCGTCGCTCACGCGGTCGACGAGCGAGCCGCGGCTCGTCAACGCGCTGTCGCTCCTCGCGGGCATCTGCCTCGTCGGCGAGTCGGCCCTCTCCGCGGCCGACCGCGCGTCGCTCGTCTACGACATCTTCGACTTCGACACGCGCCGCGAGATCAGCAAGGACGAGATGACCATCCTGCTGCTCTGCACCGTGCGCGCGGCCAAGGTCGTCGCCGGCGCGGGCGAGGACCCCTCGGACGACATCATGGAGGCGACGACGGCGGCGGCCTTCGAGAAGCACGCCGCGCGCCTCGACGTCATCAAGAAGGACGAGTTCGTCGCCTGGGCGGCGGAGGAGACCAAGGTCGTCGACTCCCTCACGGCGCTCCTCATCAAGTTCGGGAGCCTGAAGGGCGAGCTGCCGGCCGCGCCGTCGGGCGAGCGCTACAACACCTTGCTGCCGTCGCCGGCGGGCGCCAAGTACGCGCTGGCCGTCGTCCAGTTCAAGGTCCCCGGCCACCCGAACGGCGGCTCGGACAAGGGCCCGGACGGGAACCGCATCGACTCGATCCCGATCGCGAACGGCGTGATCAAGGCCGGCGGGGCGTGCGACATGCTCCTGTACGACTACACGGACCACGCGGGCTTCGAGGCGACGATCGAGAAGTACGACGCGCTCATCGTCCGCATCAACCCCGGCCAGCTGTCCCAGATCCCGGGCGTCGACGGCGTCCAGGCCAAGTTCGACGCGACGATGAACGCGTTCGTCGGCAAGGGCAAGCCCGTCTGGTCGAGCCCCGGCGTCCAGCAGAAGATGGGCGCCAAGGACGCCCTCTGCAAGATCGCCAACATGGGCTGCGGCCTCGTGGACACGTTCGCGTACTACGACGCGGAGACCCTCGAGACCCAGTTCAAGAAGACGATGGCGTTCCAGCCGCGCGTGGTCAAGCAGAACCGCGGCTCGGCGGGCGAGGGCATCTGGCTGTGCTGGATCGCCAACGAGACCAAGGACGGCATCATCCCGGACATCGAGTACCCGTCGAAGACGTTCGGGGCCGAGTCGCTCGGCGACGACGTCATGCTCAAGCTCATGGAGATGAACGACAACCACGTCGAGTACCACACGGTGAAGGAGTTCCTCGTGTTCTGCGTCGACGGCCCGAGCGGCGCCGGCGCCGGCACCTGGACGTCGACGTTCCCGGGCGAGTACCTCAAGGGCGGCGCGGCGGCCGGCGGCCAGCTCGTCGACCAGCGGCTCCTGCCCCGCATCTCCGAGGGCGAGGTCCGCGTCCTCATGGCGGGCGACACGTGCCAGATGATCATCCACAAGAAGCCCGAGGGCGGCCTGTCGGCGGTCGGCGGCAACTCGGCGTACACGTACTACGAGCCGTCGGACCCGCTCTACGCGGATCTCCTGACGAAGCTGACGACGGACATCAAGAACGGCCTGATGGACGTCCTCGACCTCAAGGGCGAGGCGCTCCCGCTGCTCTGGACGTGCGACTACATCCCGAAGAACCCCGAGGGCTGGTCGAAGACGGAGAACGCGTGCGACATGGAGACGGAATACGTCGTCGGAGAGTTCAACTGCTCCTGCGTCGGCGTGTCCATGTTCCAGGCCG